AGGTTGGGGTCTCCCTGGCCTCCTCAGAGGTCTGTCCTGTCTGTCCTCCGTCTGCAGCCCCGCCCCTTCCTGGGGAGAGCTGCCTGCCCTGGGTTCACCTGGCCCCGGGCTCACCTGGCCAGGTCACTTGCTCTCCTCCCGGCTGTCACGCTGCAGGGACCCTCTGCCCTTTGGGTAGTAGCCTGGGAGGGGCTGCCCCTACTTATCCACGCACCAGCCGAAGCCGCACTTCCTGCCTGTGGACAGACGGCACTGTGGAGGGAGCAGAGAAGGCAGGCCTGAACCCCGGAAGGCTCCCACCCTGGGGCCCAGAGCAGGTAAAGGTGCCGGGACCAAGCGCAGAGCAGGCTGTCAGGGCCCAGGAGGGTTCCCAGTGCTGCCGGCTGGGAAAGCGAGGCCCCAAGAGGTGGCCAAGCCCAGTGTGCACAGCGCAGTGCAGCTGCCTGTCTGTGCGGGGCAGGGCAGTGCTGTGTCCTCCGGTCCTGGGTATCCTGGCCCGCTGGCCCTGCAGGCCTGTTGCTGAAGGAGGGGATGGCAGCGTCCCTGTGCCCTGTGCTCGTCACGTCTGCCTTTCAGAGCGCATCCCAGGCCCCAGACAGGCTGGCTCTCAGTGTGACTGCAGAATAGTGACAGACAGAAACAGGTGTGATAAGGGGACCACTGGCCACTGGAGAGACCACCCTGACGACACGCTGCTCCGTCCTAATTCTATAGATGCCGTGATGTGGCTGTCACCGTGGTCTGTGGAAACCACTTACTGTGGCTTAAAGGACCCTCCTCTGCAATGTGTGGCCCTCGCAGCTGGTCACTCCTGGGAGGGTCTGGGGTGGAGACCGCAGGCAGCTCTCTGCCAGGTGCCCGCAGGTCACTCCCTGGAGTCCCTCTGCAGTTAGCGTCCCTCCAGGACGGGTGCTCAGGAAGGTGCTAGTGTGTGTCCCTCGTGGTTGATAAAGGGGAACGTGGCATTTCTGGGGCAGGAGGCAGAGCCAGGGCTGCGGCAGGACGGGGGGTCCCCTCCATGTGAGGGGCTGGAAGGGAGGGGCTCCTGAAGACACACTCACCTGCCTCTTCCTATAGAAGCCCCTCTTGTCACAGTTGGGGATGTGAATGGCCCTGGGGCTCACCGTGTTCAGGGACTTGAGGTGGTTCAGGTCTCCTCTATCTCCAGGAAGGGCCCCTGTGGGGGAGGTGATTAGTGGGAGCTCAGCTACCTCATAAAGTCCCGCCTTCCCCAAGCCATCCCGGGGACCTACGAGGTGCCCCAAGTATCTGTGTGCTGACTCAGTGGTCACCGCTCCCCGGGAGACACCGACCACGGCCCCTCTCTCGTGTGTCCCTAACAAGGCGCAGAGCCTGGGCAGAGTCACCAGAACCCAGGACACTCAGAGGCCAGGTGAACAGAACGAAGCGGGTTCACGTAACATTTCTCTTGAGCGCAGAGGCGGCTGGGCACACACCGCACACTCTCACCGTCGGCATTTAGCCCAGACCCTGGAGATCCCCCTGGGAAGGGTCACTGGCCTGTGCGGTAGGAGGGCTGGCAGCTGCCCCTGCAGGTGGGGCGGGTGTACCCACGGGCTCTGAGTGAGGTGCTACTTGGGGCCCAGGCCCCCCAGCCGAGGAGAACAGAGGCAACACTCACATACTCGGTGTCCTGCTGGGACTCGGAGAAGTTCTGTGTGACCTTGCTCTGGGTCTCGAAGCCCAGCTTGTAGCGCTGGCTGTCTCTGGGGAGCCCTTTCTTGATTACATCCATATCGGTGTGGCGGGGAAGTCGGGGACCCGGTGTGTGATGGACAGCGCCAGGCTCCCTGAGGCCCCGCACTTGGTCTTCCTCGGACTCACTGCCGTTTCCTGGAAAGACACGGGCATAATCCACTGATGGCGCCGAATCCCATCTCAGTGGGACGTTATTCAACCATCCAAGAACCTTCAAGAAGACACCTCGGCAGTACCCCCTCACAGCAGGGGCCATGGCAGTTACCGCTGTGCCTGAGAAGCGTCTTTCGAAATGAAATCTCAGCTGAGACTGGACCAAGGAAATGCCCATGAAGCTCGCAGGCATCTCCACCTCCACCAAGAGGGGGCAGAGCTGAGCCAGGACCAGCACATTCTCCCCCTGCTGGGTCAGAGGAGCCTGGGCAGGCAGCCCCTTGGGAATTCTGACTCCAGCGCTGGCCGAGCACCTCCAGGGAAGGGCTCCGTGTGGATCTGCTCCTCTCCACAGAGGGCTCCGCTGCATGTCTGCACTCAGGAGCGCGCTGGCCAGTGTTCAAGGGCCTGTGTCCTGTTTCTAACGCACTGTCACACGGGGCCTGGACACCTACCAGTGCTGCTCAGACCCTGCATCCGGGGCACCTTCCTGGGCGAGTCCTCCTCCCCAGGGCTGTGTGGGTGACAGGACAGCTCTATCAGAGCTCACACACCCAGTGCTGCCTCCTGCAGGTCCCTCTCTGTAGTCAACGTGGTAAAGCAGAAAAACTTGACATGACAGCATCTTGGCTCGTCCTGGGGGTGGGGTTTCAACTATACTGAGCGCATGTGTGGCTGATGTGGAGCCAGGATCCTCACTTTCCTTGCCCATAATGAACTGGGGCAGCTGAGGGACAAGGGCCAGTGGGTGGGGACCCATCTTGGCCTGGTCTGCTCACTCAGGAAGCAACCACATGGTCACTTCACTCGACACCCAATGCCCCCACACCTCGAAGGCCATGGGGTCTTGAGTCTGCTCTGTCTGGGGTGGCCAGAGCCCTGCCCCAGCGGAATGGTTCTCTGTCCTCCCAGGAACATGCCCATCACTGTTGCAGTCCGCCAGCACCAGGAAGCCTGCCACGGCCTCTCCGGCGCTGGGCTCCCAGGAGCAGCTGCACAGGGAGTTTCTACAGGGCTGAGCAGGGCGGGAAGACAGTGTGTTCCAGTGGCAGAGCTCCAGGGTCCTCTGGCCGCGCCCAGCACAGGGTGCACTTACGGGGACCCGAGGACTGGGGAGGTCCCTGCTCTCTGGGTCTCTGTGTCTCCACGCAGTCAATGGCCCATGAGGGGGAGGATTTGCAGGGTTCCCCAGGGGCCTGGTGCTGGGGAGGCACACTTGTCCTGCCCAGTGCCCGTGGAGCAGGCTCTTCAGGTAGGATTTGGTTCCATTTCCTTTTATCTTTGTTTCTTTTTCTTCTTCAGGGTAGTACTGGGGCAGAGGAGCCAAGATGACCTAAGTATGCACATTTGCATTTCTTTTCCTATAACTCTGAGTAATTTCTTAAACTTCCTTGATTTCTTTCTAATGCCAGAAAACTTTGGTGGAAAGAGGACACCCGTCCTGTTAAGCAACAGATCATTTTAACCTTCACTTAAATGCATGTCCCCCCACGTGGATTTTAGAAGTCATTTATCTCTTTATACTTGTGCAATAAACCACATCCACTCACACGGTAATTACCATGCTCAGTGAAGACACTAACGACAACGCTCTTTATAAGGACTTCTCAGATCACTGTTCCAGTGTTCAAGGCCCTGCGGGCCATGCTGTGCACACAGCAAATGGCATGACTTTGCCCTGAGGAACAAACATTTCCAGGGATTTTAACAGTCTCACTGGTATGAAACAGTGATGTCTCAAGCAACCGGAATTTTGTCTTTTGACCAATTCTGAACAGCGGTTTCTCTGGGAGAAACAGCCAGCCCTGCCCAGCAAGGACAGCCTCACCCAAGCAGCCACCAGAAGGGTGAAGGGACTCCCCTCGTCTGTCCTAGCTGTGGCTAGCCCTCTGCTCTGCCCAGCCCTCCCAGAGATGTGAGTGGGGACTCCACTCCCTCCTAAGTGAGGCTGGCTGAGCCTGCTTGAAGAAGCCTTGGGGCTTCACCCACCCCTTCCTGTCACTGAGGCCCTGGGTCCACACTGCCCACAGCCCCAGGCGGGGAGCTGGGTCCACCAGGGGGAGGAAGGGGATGGTGGCTATGGGAGTCTCACAGCCCCCTCCTCCTCTGGGGGACCTCAGACAGCTTCTTTCAGAAGGTCAGGTTGTCCAACAACAAAAGATACCAATGCCGGATTGATTTCCACTTGGCTGGTTCTGGGACACCCCGGGGGCTCGGCAAACCCTAAGTCAGCGCAGTGCTATTAGGAAACACAGGTACCATTTCTACAAAGGCACCTGCCTACCCTTCCGGCCCAAACCTGCCCCAGCTGTCTCCCTCTGCCCCTGCCCCTGCCCCTGCCCCAAGCCGTCATGGCCTGGACATGCTCCGAGTCCAAGGGAACCGAAACCCTGTCCCAGAGCCTGCAGCACAGCCCACGCCCATGTCCCCTGCTGCCAGGGGCTCACAGGGCCCAGAGCCTTGTCTGTCCAGGATCCCATCATGGACCACCAACCTCAGTATCTGCTCCCCCCTCCCCACGAAATCTGACCCATTTTTTGACAAAAGCACTCTGCCCTCAGAAAACTGAGCTGCTGTGAAGTGTCCCTCCAGCGAGCACCTGTGTCCCCACCTACAGCTCTGGGGGCAGGGAGAGCAGAAAGTCTCTGCAGTTGCAGCCCCCCTTCCACAACCCTTGGCCCGGGGCGCAGCCCCCTGGGCACTGCTGTGAGGCCCCTGGCGCAGGCAGCTCACCTGGAGTGGGTGGGGACCTGCAGCAGACACCTTGGGCCGCGGATGGGTGCACGGGCGGCCTGCAGCGCTGGTGCTGGAGCAGAGCCTGGGGCCCTCCAGCAGTGCTTGCGCCTGGCCCGGCTGCTGATGGCAACGGAGACCTGCAGGGCAGCATTCGGTGCAGACACCACATGGCTGGCCTTCACCCAGAGCACACATCAGACAGCAGCCACAGCCAGGTTCGTGCACCACCTGGGCACACATGACAGGCGGGGGCTGGCACTGGGCCAGAGAGACTGCATGGCAAGGTTAGCAGCGCACCACCAGGCCAGCGCCCCCTGCACCCCCTTCCAGCCAGCACTGGCTTGTGGGCTTGCTCCTTGGGAGGCCCTTGGATCAGCACCAGAGAGATCAGCATGGCTGCCAAGAGCAAGTGGCACGTCCGCTGCATGGCACCCACTGCAGGTGTCCTCTGCTCAGCCTGCCGGGGCTCGCTGGATGGGGTGATAGCATGTGGTGTGAGGCTGCGGGAGCGAAGCAGGCAGCACTTCCAGGCTAGCATCTGGGCTGCCGGGGAGCCCTGGCCACTATATAGAAGCTGATGTGGCCAAGGATACACCCCAGAACTGCACCAGGGGGTGGGGGAGATGGGGGCAGGCAGGTGCAGACAAGGCTCCTGGATCACTTATATCACCCCAGGCAGCCTAGCAGAGCACCAAGGTGCACAGTGAGCAGCTGCCCAAGCACCTGCTCTTCACGTGTGTACCCAGCACTCTGCCACCACACGGTCCTCAGAAACCCCAGAGCTCCCATCACCCACCAACCCTGGTGCCACCAGCAGCCCCCTGCCAACCCCCACTGCCCTTCTGGGTCTGTGTCCCGCACCCCTCCCCTAAGGTCGCCCTCGGAGAACCTGTGTCACGGAAACCTGCATGCCTTGCTCCACACCCTTGTGTACTTTGCAATGCTTTCCAAAATTCAAGTCCTAGGGTCGGGCATTCCTGTGACACAACTGAACAAACATACCTAATCCTCGCTGAGTCTCCTGGAGCTGAAGATTCAGGGTCTTATTTGCACCTGCTGGGCCACTCGTATCCCCCATATCTGGCCCCACAGATGTATATGTGCAGGTGGCCTTTGTCCTTTCCAGGGTCACTTCTCAGACCAGTGAAGGCTCACATTTGCTGTCTCCCCGCGAGTCCCTAATGGGCAAAGTGGGCCAGCGTGGGACCGGTCCTAAGCTGTGCTTGTCAAGAATGCGACGTGTTTCAGATATTTTCCCCTGATGATAGTTTCACAGAGTTTCCATCCACAACAAAAGTATAATGAAAATAGTAACGCGGGTACTGCTGAAATGTAATTAATAACCAAGTAGTGCTTGAAAAAGTGATTCTCACCAGCATTTCCCCAGCCCCTTGGTGTCCCTGCACTAAGTTCTCCCTAATGCACTGAACTGGAGACTTTTAGGTTCTCCTATTCCCTGGAGTCTATGCTGTACTAGGGTGCAAGTCCGGGGCGCCCTTCGCCCCTAAGATGGGGTGAATCCTGTCGGCCGGCTTCCTGTGGGTCTTTCAGTGCTGTCTGCAGGCCCTTCTGCAGGTGGCTGACAGAGGACGCTCTGGTCCAGGATCAAACCAGAAGTTACACTTCCCAAGGCCCATTCCGATCAGCCCTGGGAACCCAGGACACCACAGGGGAAGGGAGTGCCCCGCTTGCTGCTGAAACCTGACACCGCCCAGGGCAGTTCCTGGGCGTCTCTGAGGAAGCTTTTGCTGTTTGCAGCAGAAACCACAAACCAGGACGCCCTTGTTTCCCAGTGCTCCCCCCAGCCCAGGAGCAGCCGCAGTGCTGAAGTTCATCTCAGTACCCTCTCTCTGTGAGGACATATGCATAACCTTTATAGAATGGGAAGACAGGCGTTCTAACAGCAAGCACATACACAATGATGGAACAATAGTGTAATGTAGGCTCCACAAAGGAGAAGAAAGTAAGACAGAGGGGACCGCACTCTGGCCTGCAGGACGCAGCCCCCACTCATCTGGGGCCCCCAGCGCTGGGCCAGACGCACCTGTTCACCATGGACCATGCCATAGCCATCCTGGCTGCCCCCTCTGCCTGACCCTCCTCCTGGCTGGGTGTTATCTGCTTTGACAGCCAAGAACAGGGTCTCCGATTTCATTGAGAAATTAAGGAAACAAGAAACCTCCCAGAACCACATTTTGTTTGAAAAGCTCCAGAGCCATATGCAGAGGAACTAAATTGACTAACTTCAAGACTGGGGCTGGAGGGGCAGCTCTCTATGGGGATGAAAGTGCTGGCAGGCACCACTGTCCTTTGAATTCTTCCCCAACTGAGCCAGGAGGTGCATGCTGGCAGAGAAGCTGTGCTGTCCATTAACCAGGCTATCAATGCCCCCCACCTCTGGTGAACCCCTGATACCCCACCCCACCCAAATTACCAGCCCTGCACAAGCCTCTTCCAGCAGCTCCTTCACACAGTGGCCTGCCTCAGCTCCCACTGAAGACTTTCCCAAAATCTTTGAAAAGTCCACAAACCCCAAATAAGAAGCAACCAACCTTGGAGTGCCCTGCAGCACTTGTTGAAGCAGCCCCAAGGCCAGCACAAGCAGCAACAGGTCTCAACTTGCATGGTAACTTCCATCAGGTGGCCCCAAGCCAGGCATAAGTGGTAGCCAGGCTTGGCCTGAAATGTACCTTCAACAAGCAACCACAAGACTGGCACAAGTGGAAGCTGGCCACGATTCACATTGTGGTGCCGACTCAAGGCTCCCAAGCCCAGCACAAGTGGAAGCCAGCTGCGGTTTGCAGCATTCTTCCAAGTGCCTCCAAGCTCAGCACACTTTGGAGCTCCTACCAAGAGCCACAAAGCCCAGGAATACAGGCGCCAGGCCCAGCACAAGAGGCAGCTAAACTTGGCCTGCACCAGAGCCCCTCCCAAATGCTCCAGAAGCAACACACAGTCAGTGGCCGGCTTCAGGCCACACTGAAACACAACCCAGCCAAATAGACACATTACAAACCCAAAGCCCCAAAGCTTCTCTAAAGCAACTCCCACTTTGTGCTGTCAGTGTCCACACAACACATTCACTGGAGTCATGATCAGCTGTCTCAGCCAGTCAGCTGGAGGGTCAACTCCACGCACTGATGTGACAGCAACCAAAACTCAACTACCAAAGAAGGGCACATACAACCCACACAGGGGACACCTCTGGAGCTTTCTGCTCAGGTGAATGGGGAGACTGCACCACTGGACCCCACAAAACACCTTTTACATAAGGCCACTCTGTCAAGACTGAGGGACATAGCAGATCCACCTAATACAGAGAAACAAACACAGGAATTCATCCACAATGAGGTAACAAAGAATAAAAGAACAGGATGAAACTGCAGAAAAAGAACTAAACAAAATGGAGACAAGCAACCTACCAGATACAGAGTTCAAAACACTGGTTATAAGGATGCTCAATGCACTCAGAAGAATATATAAACTCAGTGAGAACTTTAACAAAGAGATTTTAAAAACACACAAGAAAAGAGATAGAATATTGGTGGGAACACTGTGTAAGGTATGTGATTGTCTCACCATTATGCTGTATACCAGGAACTAATAACAAATGATATTGAATGTAAACTGTAATTGAAAAAAAAGAAGCAGTCAGAAATGAATACAATAACTTCAATGAAGCATACACTAGAGGGAAACAACAGCAGACTGGATGAAACAGAGGATCAAATCAGGGATCTGGAAGACAAGGTAGTGAGAAACACCCAATCAAAACAGAAAAGAGAAAAAATGAGGACATTTAGTTTAAAGCACAACTGGGACAACAACAAAAATACCAATATTCATATCATAAGGGTACCTTAAGAAGGGAAAATGCAAGGGATCAAAACCAATAACAACTAAGGAAATTGAAGAGGTAATCAAGACTCTCCCAGCAAACAAAAGCCCAGGCCCAGATGGCTTCACGGAGGACTTTTACCAAACATTCAAAAAAAAAAAAAAAAAACTAACACCCATTCTGCTCAAACTATTTCAAAAAATTCAGAAGAAGGAAGACTTCCAAACTCATTCTATTAGACCAGCATAATTTTAATTCCAAAACCAGAAAAAGACACTACAAAGAAGGAAAACTACAGGTCAATATCCCTGATGAACATAGACACCAAAATTCTGAACAAAATACTAGCAAATCGGATCCAGCAATACATCAAAAAAATTATTCACCATGACCAAGTGGGATTCATCCCAGGGATGCTAGGCTGGTACAATATTTGCAAATCAATAAATGTGATACACCACATAAACAAAATTAAGAATAAAAACCACATCATCATATCAATAGACGCTGAAAATGCATTCGACAAAATCTAGCATCCATTTCTGATAAAAATGCTCAGCAATGTGGGAATAGAGGGATCATATCTAGACATAATATAAGCCATATATGAAAGACCTGCAGCCAACATCATACTCAATGGGCAGAACTAAAAACATTTCCATCAAGAACAGGAACAAGATAGGGATATCCACTTTCGCCACTCTTCTTTGACATAGTACTGGAAGTCTTAGCCACAGCAATCAGACATGAGGAAAAAATAAAAGGGATTCAAATTGGAAAGGAGGAAGTGAAACTGTCATTATTTGCAGATGACATGATATTATACATAGAAAATGCTAAAGACTCCATCAAATATCTAGTAGACTTAATAAATGAATTTGGCAAAGTGGCAGGATACAAAATTAACGTCAAGAAATCGACGGCATCCGTATACACCAATGATGAACTCACAGAAAGGGAAACTGAAAAAACAATCCCATTTACCATCGCGGCAAAAAAATTAAGATACCTAGGAATAAACTTAACCAGAGAAATAAAGGACCTATTTGCAGAAAACTACAGGACATTGAAAAAAGAAAAAGAGAAAGATATAAAAAAAAGTGGAAGCACATACCTTGTTCATGGATTGTAAGAATTAACATCATTAGAATGCCCATACTACCCAAAGGAATCTATAGATTCAATGCAATCCCCATCAAAACATCAATGACATATTTTACAGAACTACAACAAATACTTCAAAAGTTCATATGGAACCAAAAAAGTCCCCAAACAGCCACAGCAATTTTGAAAAAGAAGGACAAAGTAGGTGGGATCACAATACCAGATATCAGGTTATACTACAAAGCCACTGTAATCAAAACAGCCTGGTACTGGCACAAGAACAGGCATATAGACCAGTGGAACAGAACTGAGAACCCAGAAATGGACCCAAGGCAATATGCTCAATTAATATTTGACAAAGGTGGCAAGAGCATACAGTGGAGTAAGGACAGCCTATTTAATAAATGGTGCTGGGAAAATTGGACAGCTACATGCAAAAAAAATGAAACTAGACCATCAACTTACACCATACACAAGAATAAACACAAAATGGATAAAA